TCTTTTTGTTCATGGACTGGTACTGAAATCAGAACAAAGTTCGCCCAGCAATTAAAGGAGTATGAGAAGTCTGGAAACATATTACTAAAAGCAATTAAAGCCATTAAATTAGTTCAATCACTTAGCAAAAAAAGTTCTTTAATATGAAATATGCAGAGAGTCTTGAAAGTCCAAGAAAAGGGATTTTCAAGTGGGGATTCTTTTTTGCGTTTTTGAGGCAGTAAACAACGTGGTATATGGTACATTCGACTCGTATATGTTCTATGTTGGGTTTAAAATAGTCAAAAAGCGATTTAATTATCAACAAGAGTATATGGGATTTATGCAACAAGTTGTGAATGAGTATTCTATAATACAAAAAGACGTATCCTATTATGTTTGCTTCCATGTCATGTACTCGACTTAGCCAAATTATTCCAAAAATGGGAAAGGCGCAAGGAGCAGCCAAAAGGATATTTGAAATTATTGATGGAGAAAATGATATAGTGGATACAAACCAAACTACAAGTTCAAAGAGTGATATATCCGATGAAAAGTACGAACAATTAAGAAAAAAAAATTCACCGTAAATCGAATAATATAAAAATGAAAAGAATTTAAAAAAATGAAAAGGAAATTGAAGGTAATTTGTTGTTCAAAATTGTGTATTTTAGATATCCAACACGACCAGAAAAGTAATTTTACTGTTCAAAAGGGAAATATTTTGTTTTAGTTGGAGCTTCTGGGTGTGGAAAGAGTACTACAATACAACTGATAGAAAGAATGTATGACACTAATTTCAGGTCAATTGAAATTGATGATAGAGATATTAAAACACTTCCACTCCACAAATTAAGAAAACCTATTGGGATGGTCGGACAGAAACCTGTGTTATTTAGTGAATCGATATTGGACAATATTATACGAGGAAGTTTTGACGAAGTATCTATGGAAAAGATCATTGAAATAAGCAAAATGGCTAATGCACACGACTTTATTGGTGCACTTCCTGAAGGAGATAACACGCTTGTTGGTGATAGAGGAAGTCGGATGTCTGGTGGACAGAAACGGCGAATTGCAATTGAAAGAGCTCTAATTCAAATTCCAAAAATATTGTTGTAGGATGAGGCTACAAGTGCACTCGACAGTGTATCGGAAAAAGTAGTGCAAAGTGCATTAGAAAATGCAAGCAAATAAAGGACAACAGTTGTAATTGCACATCGACTTTCAACGATTCAAAATGAAGATGAAATATGCGTTGTTATTTGTGGTAAAATTGCTAAGATGAACACATGAAGAGCTTATGAGAATGAAAGGATTTTAT